CGTATGATCATTACAAAGTCATTATAATGACCAATATTACAAAATAGAAGAACAGAAGTGAGTCTCTATTTCGTTTCGCAAAACTCATCTTATATGAATATTATCTCTTTATATAATTATAATTAGTTTGGATTCTTTATTATTACATTTTCAAGGTCTCAAGTTTCCATGGTTCAGTTAAATGAAATTTCAGGAATAATTAGTTTTCTAAAATATACAACAGGAATAATGACCTTATTTTTCTAAATGTGTGTAACAATTTGAAATTATTTGATATGATGGGAAGAAAAGTCGAAATTCCATTGATTTACTCATTATTAGTTTTATTCAACATTATTTCTGTTTTGATTCAATGTAATGATTACTCAATGTAGTATTTATTTTCTTTTCTCGTATGATATTTTATCATGTGTAGTATACAATATTCTTGTATTCAGTTGACATGAACTATGCTCTATATGTGATATGTGATAACTGAGTATTTTTCATATATGTGATTTCATTCTAATTATTAATCAAAATGGGTGTACGATCAATATATAAATGAGTGTATTTTCGACTATGGTCGTCGTCGTCATCATAGTGTTTTGGGCTAATAAAACTTCGCTTATACCAGTCTTGTGTTATTACTTTCGCGTCGTGGGATTTGTGGAGGTTCCTTCGTTCCGAGTATAAATGATCAGCGATTCAGACATAACAATCAGCGACGACCAGATACAAAAACTAGCATATCATTCGCAAGTTATAACAACTGACGACGGGGATTTTGGAAAACATTCACAAGATATAACATTATTACAAGTCGTTTTTTTATTCTACACACTCATCATATGACAAATACAATCCTTCTTAAAACTGAATATCATAATATGTTTGTTTAGAACTCGTTTTTAAACTCTTAATTAACAACCAATTAATGACAATAGATGCAGGTATATTTAACTGACGAGTTCTAGATAGAACGAAGCACACGTTCAGAATTCCATAACTAGGCATCATTCATCTCCGTTCATATTTAAATAATTCAGTACGTAACATTCATAATATTTCAATCAGACTTAGATAATAGTCAGTTAGTAATTCTTTTAAAACTCTTATTGACTTTATTATTTCAGGTATTTTGATAATAAATTTATTAAATTAGAAATAAACATTTATTAGATGATTCCTTAGTTAATGTTCATTTGTAATGAGGACAAACTAAAGAGAAAAAATAAACCCTAGTTAAATAACAGATAAAATGTCAGATTTCATTCCTTGACGAAGAAGAAGAAGAGGGAAAAAAAGGTGAATTTAAAAATGATTCATTTTTTATAGAACCATAACAAAGTACTTCGGTAAATTTATTTGTACTAACCATAAAATATAGGTCAATTAATGATAGCAATAATAATAATAGTAATAATAATAATGATCATTGTAAATGCTTCCTATGAAATGGTATTCACTTTTAGAAAATGAACTTACTACAATGAATTCATTGATATTAATATTTGAAAAATTGGAATCATTTAAGAATGGTACTTATCACTTATAAAGGTAATTAAATATTCTGTTATATTTGAAGTTATATACAATCTACTACTGATTATGATAATAATTTATTTAGGTCGCTTATCGGCTAATATAATTAAATATTAATATGTATACAAAGTGTTTATGATCTATTTTAAAATGCGTTATTGATATCGAATTCATTAGAATTTACATTCAATATAATGAAGAATAATTAATTACCTGTTTAACCTATGTAAAATACATGATACCTAAAAGATTAAAAAAGAAAAAAATATGATCCAACTTTTAGGCTTACAATAGATTTGTATCAAGTAATATATTGTTGATATAGGGACTGAACGATTATAGGAAATTTCATGCCTGATAGTCATTTACTGCATATGGGTTTATTGAAAGTTATTTATTTATGAAAAATTATTCATGATAACAGTATAAGGGGTTGAAAACTATCTATTGATAGTAGTAGCGATTTACATTAATGTGAATGTGAGGAGGATTTACTGCATGTAACTGAAACTAGTTACAATTGTTATTATACATGGTAGATGTTTTAATGTGATGTGAAAAATTCTCTTTCTGTAAGTAATTACAATTGTCAATAGTTTGAGATATTTAATGAAAATTATGCTTTGATAAGCAATACTTACATTACGTAACGAATGTACTAACAATAAAAAAATAGACGCCGGCTCAGCGGTCTAATGGTTAAGTACTCGCGCGCGAAACTGATAGGTTCTGGGTTCGAATCTCGCGGGGGGCTGGATCGTGGATTCGCACTGCTGAAGAGTCCCATAATAGAACGAAATGGCCGTCCAGTGCTTCCGTGTTTTCCATGGTGGTCTAACTTTAATTAACTAATGATTTCAACTACTGAATTTTCTAAAATCTCCACAAAACCCCTTCAGATAATAAATAATTAGATGAAATGTGAGTTACAACATGCAGGCTAGGACGTTTCACGACATCAAGCCACTAGAATCTGTTAATCAATAATAATTGTTATTTTGAACAGTTAATATTCATTAGACATGGTAACTAACTAATAAAATTAACATTTTGTCACCTAACTTGAAGTGACATAAAATCATGATTATTGTCTCTTGTTAAAATAACATTCTTTTGTATATTTCAATTGGAAGTATTATCCTTCAACCTAGTCAATGAACTGTTAGAATACAAAATATTTAGTTAAGAGTATAGTTGTACCTTACTAATATAAACAGTAACAAAATTGTATTAGTTTGATTACATTGAAAATTCAAAAAGAAAAAAGAACTTAGAGTAGGTTTCAATATTTACAACTTATCTCATGTATATCTAAAGTATTAATAAAATGGGATATTTTAATATAAACTTTTAATGTCTTACATGTATATGAATATTTATCCTCATTTTTTCTATTTATTTCTGCTGTGTCTAGTTTGGTAAATATATAAAGGATACTTTATAAATTTTTATCATCTATTCATTCAAGACAATTAAGATCATTTAAGTATCTTAGCCAGTCTATGGTTGCCTTAGCTTAATATAATTCTATCAAGAATCTAGTCAGTGAAAATGTACACCATATATATATATATATATATATATATATATATATATATATATATATAATAGGTATTTTATGAATAAAATGTTCATATTGAGAGATGGTCTCTGAAATTTGTTTGTTTACAAATTTTAAAAAAATTTAGATGTGAACAAACAAACTGATCATCTACGGATATTAGTTAACCGGAGTAAGAACAAAGTAGATTATCTGCTCCATTGGAAGTAACAGACGTAAGTTAGTTAGTTGGTTTTATTCCAAAAGGATAGTTTACACAGATGGAATGTTTTCAGAAATCACTTATATCACCTTTTCTCTTTTTTAGTTTATTTATGTCCTGAAATTAAACATATAATTTAATATCAGGAGGGGTTTTGTGGAGATTGTAGTTATTTCAATAGTTGAGATCATGAATCATTTGAAGCTAGACTATCATGGAAAACTTGGAAGCACAGGACGGCCGTTTCGTCTTATTGTCGGACTCCTCAACAGTGCGCATCCACAATAGATTACATTTATATAGTAATTTCTAAGTTTGAATGTTATGATCGTTTGTCCGGGACTTAATTTTTTTGACTTCGTATAAATCTCAAAATATTTAGGAACTATACAACTGACCAAATAAATCCAAAATCACTGAAGGAATAAATTTTATTAAAAAAGTGCTTTTCAGATGTAATAACTCTATGACCACATATACTATAAACTTTTCTTCATAAATTGGAATTAACATGAACCATATTTATTATTAGCAGTAGAGGTTAGTTTGAAGATTATGACTTCTACTTTTTATTGTGCTTAAGGTTGTTTATATTTCTTAACTCAAAACCACTAAACGCTTTAATCAATTTGAATAGTGTTTAACAATAGAGTCCAGTATAAGAATTCCAAACTTTCTAGCCCGGTGTATAACAAGTTCTTTTTCTGGAACAACATGTACTGTTTTCAAATCTCACTGTAAATATCAACATTGGAATGATAATCTCTGATACTGAATAGTTACTGCTCATTTTTCTAGGAAAACAGTTTAAAAAAACTCTTAATTTCCATGATGGTCTAACTTCAATTGACTCATAAATTCAATTATTAAATTACTACAATCTCCACAGTACCTCTCTTTGACTATAATTTCATATACATTTATTTTACTCCCATCTTTTGAGATGGTGGAGAAGATTTGTAGCTCAGGTGGATGATTTTGATGGAGTTTTGTTCTCTGAGCTGGATGGTTTGGTCGTGGAGCTTTCATCGTTCTTCTAAACGACATCATCAGCACAAACTTCGGAAGACTTCTATCTGAAGTTTGTGCTGATGATGTCGTTTAGAAGAACGATGAAAGCTCCACGACCAAACCATCCAGCTCAGAGAACAAAACTCCAAAAACTCCCATCTTTTAAATTGCAATAGTTAGACGAACTCTTATTTAGACTTGGAAGAAAATGTCAATTCAGGCTTTGTTTCATTTTTAACTTAATCCATTTTATTAGAGTAAATTCATTCATAGATATAAATTAAAAACTTTCATGTAAACTTAGAATGTTATAATAAATCTGACATATTTTTAGAAATCGTGTCCAGCTGTAGTTCTTCTAGAGTTACTGTCAATCCCAAGCCCAGGTAAATGAGAAGGATTGAGTGTGGGATTAGGAGTAATTCTAAAAGAGCTACAAACGGTAATCCACTAATTCTATATAATATATAAAATTTAAATATGTACCTTAGTTTATATAAACTAATGTTTTATAATAACTTATACACGATAGTATAATTCCATGATATTATACAATAGAATCTTAATGGACTGGTTGAAAAGGTATAAATTCAAATGAAGGATATACATACCTTATTGTCATTAAATTGAAAATAGTACAGAAATAAAGTTATAATAATAATAACAATAATACATTAATTGTTTATTATGCTAAAAACTTACTATTCGTTGAATCCTAAAACACTATTCAATAGTTCAAGTAAAATGAAGTAATATCATAAGCGAACATTGAAGAAGAAGACGATGTGTGTGTGTGTATTATTTTACACTGTTCTCAAAGTAAACAAAATCAATGAAAATGAAATTTCTTCAATTGAGTAATCAATGTATTATATCATATTATTTGTGATGATTATTTAATTAAAGAATAAAAATACTTTAAATAAATGTATTTTATTTCCAAGTTAGTAACTAAAAAGTTAACATTTATTTATTCATTTTGTTGTGTTTTGTTTTTCAAAACTTATATAATATCCTCTAAAAATGACTTTTGACATATATAAATACACAATGATATACATACATGCTTACATATATATATATATATATATATAGATAGATAGATATATAGATATACATATATATTAGTTGACATCATAATGAACTATAGGTAATGATTATTGTTAACTATGATTATTTAACATGTTACTTCTGAAATAGTAAAAAATAATATGTCCTATAGTAATAAGAAAATATGTTTTTTATGTTAGGTAAAAGGGAGAGTGAAATTGAGAAATCTAGTGGTTAATAATATTGAAATAATTTTTTTCTTTTTTTACTTTGTGGGCAAATGAAATATTTTGTTGCACTCATCAATATATAAATATATAAACCAATAATATGAAGAGCAAATAAAGTTTGTGCACTGTATTATTATACGAGAACAATTGTTTGTTTTTTGGTTTTTTGGTTTGGTTTTTTTTCAAAAAAAATAATACCCCAACATCTAAATTAGGAGTATAAACACATGCATACACGTGTGTACATTTTTACGGTTACACTGTTCACTCATTGATCCATAATATTCTGTAAAAAAAAGCATGCTGACTTAACACATATACAAATATACATATAACAGGATTGGAAGAAAAACAGACAGGAAAATGTTTAGTAAAGACAGATTATGTAGAAAAACTAATCTTAGTCTATTTGAATCTATGTATATCAATAATGACAACATTACTTAAATAAGTAGTTATGTTCTAAAAATAGGTCATATAAAGTATATGTAAATTGTATTTATTAATATATTTATACAATTGACTGATGTGGAATAATTAAAGCTAGAATGTTTATTTATTAAAAATAGGGATTGTTAATAAAGTTACCGGTAACATAAGACTATCTTGGGGGGTGGTGTTTAAACGATGATTGTCAGTTTGATTGAGGTTACAATTTCAATTTTTATAGAGGAACTTTGACAGGTAATAAAAAAATCAACGTCAATTTTCATGTTACAGTACAAAACTTTAATATAATTCCAGTACACATTTATTTTAATCAAGGTTTAAGAAGATAGTTTTAGTGAAATTGAACGACAATTACGTAGAAAACTTTAGATATTGTATTATTTATGTATAAATTTTAAAAAAATTTAACAGTTCTAAGATTTAACCAGACATTTTCAATCACTGAAATTTCCATAATTATGTTTTTCTTTTATCTCGGAAGATCACGAAGTCGAAACGCGTGTCCACATATGTACTGGCCATTTGTAATGACTATAACATTATTGAGATAATGACTCATTTTCAAAATGAAGTTCATACAACATTTCTCACTTAGTGATAAGCTGGATTAGTAAATTACTTTGCATGTTTTTTGATTCTGAGAGATCATATATTACTACTACTATTATTACCATTATTATTATTATTATTACTATTTATATTGATAATGATAATGATCATTTACTGACCTGATAAATCAACTGGTTTTTGGTTCAATGACAAATACTAACAGTGTCAAAAGCATAGTTCTAACGATTGTATGTAAAGCCTAAATATTAACTAAAACACAATGCAGAGTGATATAATTAGAAAAATATCTATATACGAATAACAAAGTATATTTTTGAGGGAAAGTATACATATTCCTGAACAAAACTGGCTATGTTTCCAAATCATTTATCTTCGGATATGTACCTCCATTAAAGGGACAGGATATATTGGATGGAAAAAACAACTTGTTTATATAGTCTATTTGTTGTTCGTTAAAAGTAAACACTCTTATACCGGTTGTTGGATTTTGTCTTACTATGAATTGCTTTAGTGGAACAAACTTATTTATTCCACAAAATACCGGTATGGAATCTAAGTATACTGTGTAAAATATCTTAAGAAATCTTACAGTCAAAGCACTACACTAAATGACTGTAACATAATGTTTAATAAAGAGGTAGAATAGAGAAAAATGAATATCGAAATTCTAATTTTCACTGTCATACAGGGAGAGGGTCAGAAACTAAGCTTTAGCTTAAATATAACAAAGAACTTAGAGATAAAACCGGTTGGTAACATAAATAAATCATGAAAATTAGAGATTATTCTTTAACTTCAATTAATATCGTGATTATAATTAGGTGAACAGGTGACTAAATGAATATGATAAGACAAGGAAAAAAAATGTGTTGGTTATCTGTATATTCACATAAATTATGTGATTGTTAACAAAACAAAGTACATTTAAGTAATATAACGAATTCGATCGATATTTAGTTACATACATTACCAATGACTGTGATAGTTTGAGACTTGATCTTGACTAGAAAGCATAGTTTACTTATGATGAAGTGTCAGTTAAATCGGTTTGGAACTTTACAGATGATCTCATCAGTTGTAATCATCATGCTATTGAGTACTGATACCAACGATTGTGTTTGTATATATTTCATTCCCAGCTATTTAATGCGTTTAAAACTTTTAGAATATAGATATGTTTTTGGTGAAAGTACCGAGAAAATGTGCTTTATCTTAATGGTTGTCACAGGTTAGTGAATACGATAGTTTTCTGTAAATGTAACGAAACCGGATTAGTAGTTGAATAAAAATTTACAAGTGTTTTTCTAGTTTGTTTTAGGAAGCATCATATACTTTATTGAAAAATGCTTATACTACTTGTTGGTACATTTTACGTAGTTATGCCATTGGATTAATTTCAGTCAAATGCTTTACGATGGATGAGCAAAATCATAAAGGAGCGCTGACTAGTTGAACAGCAGAAAAAATCAGACAAACGTAAGTTTTGAAAGTTGAAAAAAATTAATCATTTTAATGGAATATTTACTTCTTTATAAAGTTTAGAGATGAATAAAAATATTAATAGTTGAATTCATGAGTCAACCTAAGTTAAACCACCATTGAGAACCTGGAAGCACAAGACAGCCGTTTCATCCTAGTTTCGGAAGATTCAGCAATGCGCATTCATGATCCCGCATACGAAACTCGAACCAAGGCGCGCAGGATCGAAGTTCCTGGGTTCGAGTTCCGTATGCGGGATCATGAATGCGCATTGCTGAATCTTCCGAAACTAGGATGAAACGGCTGTCTAGTGCTTCCAGGTTCTCAATGGTGGTTTAACTTAGGTTGATTCATGAATTCAACTATTAAGATGACTACAATCTCCTCAAACCCGCATCCTAAGAATAAAAATATGTTCTTTATTCCAGGTTTTAACATCAACATCATGTCAAATTAATCTTTTGTATTATGTTATTTGTCGAGATGAAAAAGCTCACTATTTTTTTAAAAATGGAACTATGAACTCGCATTAGATCTATTCACGCTAATGAGTTTGTCGAATGTCATTATAAAATCGCCAATTAAATTAAGACAACCAAACACCATCACGAGAGCATGAACTATTTAATTGTCAGTTGCTTGTAGGCAATCGAGTTGGTACCTCTGCATCTAATGTCTTCTATCTCTGACAACAGTATATTTCAACAGATAAACGACAGTGAAGAGACAGACCAATTTTAAATACAGTTACCATACATGGATATCTCTATTACCGGAGATTAAAAGGTGAATTTTCTTCAGATACTGAGTAACGCAGTACTTTATTTTAATCTTCTATCAAAAGACGTTCCTCGTTTTCTGAAACTTTTATAATAATGGACCAGTTAGATTCATTAAAAAACTCGACCCGAGAATTTTCGTTTATTATCTATACTTTATAGCAGAACATCATTATCAAGAGTCATCCATTGTGTGTAATCTAAGAGTGAACAACTGTGCTTTATTCTGAGCATCTAAATGCTATTTATTGAATTTTTTTTCATTGAACAAACTTGGAAGAATCTATCATACTTAATTCATTAACTAAGGGTCTTAAAACAAATATCACATTCTACCACATTGATATGTTTATTTAATTTCCTCATATCACGTAAAGCATAAATAAACTAAAAGAAAATAGGACTAACTTGCAAGCTGAATATACTAATTGTAAATATTTCATAATAAATTAGAAATGATAATCATTTCTTAATTTTATAGAGTTTAAACATTTTTAGTATTGTGCCGCAAACCATTACCAATTATTGATCTTAAATATTTATCATTTAAATTAATCAGGAATAACTTCATCATATCATTATTTACTTACTCCTGTTACTCCCAATGGAACATAGGCCTCCGACCAGCATTCTCCAACCCACTCTGTCCTGGGCCTTCTTTTCTAATTCCATCCAATTCTTGTTCACTTTCCTCATGTCTATCTCCATTTCTTGGCGTAATGTGTTCTTTAGTCTTCCTCTTTTCCTTTGACTATGAGGATTTCAAACGAGGGCTTGCCTTATGACACAGTTGGGTGCTTTCCTCAATGTGTGTCCTATCCACTTCTAACGCTTCTTCCTGATTTCTTCCTCCACTGAGATCTGGTTTGTTCTCTCTCACAGTATGTTGTTGCTGATAGTATCTGGCCAACGGATCCGAAGTATTTTGCATAGACAACTGTTAATAAATACTTTTATCTTCTGGATGATGGCTTTCATGGTTTTCCAGGTTTCCGCCCCATACAGTAGAACTGTTCTGACATTTGTATTGAAAATTCTGACCTTGGTGTTGGTTGCCAATTGTTTTGAGTTCCAGATGTTCTTCAGTTGTAAATATGCTACTCTTGTTTTCAGATCCTCGCCTTCACATCTGCATCAGATCCAGCGTGTTCATAAATGATGATGCCCAGATATGTAGAGGTTTCTACATCTTCCAAAGCTTCTCCGTCAATTATGATTGGATTGGTACATGCTGTGTTGTATCGGAGAATTTCACTTTTCCCTTTGTGTATATTGAGACCTACTGCTCCTGAGGCTGCTGCTGGTTCACTGGTCGTTTTCTCCTGCATTTGTTGTTGCGTATGCGATAGAAGAGCCAGATCATCTGCGAGGTCCAAATCGTTTAGCTGCATCCTAGATGTCCACTGTATCTAATGCTTGCCCCTAGATTTAACATCTTCATGATCCAGTCGATCACTAGGAGAAAGAGAAAGGGTGAGAGTAAGCAACTTTGCCTTACACCGGTCTTTACTTCGAACGAGTTTGTCAACTGTCCTCCATGCACAGTTTTACAGTTTGATCCATTATAGGAATTTTGTATGATATTGACTATCTTCTGAGGCACGCCGTAG